TGATGGTAAGTATTATGCGTCTTTATAATAATATTATTTGCTAATTATTATTATTATATATTATCATTTACTATTACAGTGTATTATATTTATTAGTATTTACTATTATTATTTATCGTTGTTATTAATTTTAAAAAAAATTATTATCATTATCATTATTATCATCATCATCATCATTACTATTATTATTATTAATAATATTTTATTACAAGTTCTGACAGGTCAACGTTAACTCAGTAGTTAAAAGTTCAGCAGTTTTAAGGCAACGTTTTTGGGGTTTGTAAATTAAGTAATCTAACCATCGTGATGAATGAAAAAGCGACAGCAAATTGAAACGCATGCGATCTCAAAGACTGTGAAGATATTAAAGAAATTTTACTCATTGTATCGAAATTAGTAAATCTAAATAAACCCACTGTCACCCACTAACTGCTGGACTGAAAACAACTCCAGCCTTGCGCACATGCAGTCAAATTCAATTAATAAAGGAAAGAAAATAGATTAAGCCAAAAAAACAACAATAACAACAAACACTCAACCACCGTTCTTGTTCTAATAAAAAAAATCCCCGCGCATACTGTATTTAGTGTAAATAAATACTAATGATTATATAGAAAACACCTCTTTAAATGTGTTGCATAGGCACGAAAATCGAGATTTTTAAAGGGTTTTTTTAAATTTAGAGGCAAATGCAAAAATTAGGGCAATTCGCCATTTAGTTTCTGTGTAATGACGTCGACAAGTTGTCCAATTTGATGTTGTCCAGTCTATACAAAGATGTCAAAAACTGAGAAAATTAGATCACTGCACTTATAATTCTTGTGTGGATCACTTGATGTGAAGATGCTGATCCATTTCAAGGACAATCTTTTGTGAGCGCACAAATTTTTGAAGATCCTCTGGAGAAGAAACTCTCGGAGAGTTTGATCAAATTTATTAATGTTCAAACATATTCTTCTAATCCGACGTATGTCATATGTCATGGCGAACCTTATAACTGTGCCAGAGACATGGCATACATGAACAGAATCGGCTTAAAAAAAAGACTGGTTATCTGGATCATGGTTTGTTGAAAGTAGCGTCCTTCCCATGGAACCTCAAGAATGTGACTTTGTCGTGGTCGAACTAGGGATTATAGTATAGGGCATGAGAAGATGTTCACTTCACTGGAAAAGCTGGTGTCAGAGAGTGACTTCGAAGAGTCTTAATTAGAACATCGAATAACATTGCCAATGCTCTCATCTACATCGAATAACATTGCCAATGCTCTCATCTACATCGAATAACATTGCCAATGCTCTCATCTACTCACCTGTGGACGATTTGGCCATCGTAAAATGAGAGCAGTTCTTCCTCCTCCGATTCGAGACTTTAAAAAAAGGTCGAACAGCTCCTTCAAGTTTTGCCGCGAACATGAAACGCATTGCATCCGTCAATGTTTCTGTTCTCACCGAAGTCCCCAGGGGGTTTTGATTTCATCTTCAAAGAATAAAAATTTACATTTGAAACTTTAAAAAAAAGAATATTCTGAGTTATTGTTTTTGATATGCAGGCTTTGTTTCTTCCAGCTGTCTTGATTTGGTTGTGGTATAACCCACCCACCCACCCCCTCCTAAAGAACACTATAATATAATTGTCAGATAATTTGAATTGGTGGATCACCAATTTTACGTCTGGACGATGCGAGGAGCCATACCCCACCCCCCGCGTCCAATATCCTATGTTTGAATTAAATATTCTTTCACATACTGTTTCATAGACGGCAAAAATAAATTCTTTTTGTCAGCTGATGGATGACCTTAAACTACGAGTTCCAATGTACAGTTTCAACCAATTAAAAAAAAACAACAAACAATAATATGATAATGATGGCGTATTATTATTCAAGCATTTGTAAAATAGGTGTAACAGTCTCGCTTTCTTTTCTATGTATTTTGACTAATTGTTTTGATTCATTGACCCACACTCCTTTTTCTACTATAGATTTATCATCTGTCGATCTGTCGGTTCATTATCCATATTTACTGATTACCTCATTCATTGATCCACCCTTCTTTCTCTTTTGTACCCACTGTTTTCTTACCTAATTAAATGTCATTTTCTTGCTAACTTTACCTCTGAAATCAGGCGACCCCCACCTCGTTAAAATGCAATTATCTCGACTTCTATTCAAGATAGATGGGTACATATTTCATCAAAAGATAGACAAATAAACAAGCTTTACAACGATACAAATAACTCCACATGCCCAAAAACTGGCAAGTGCCCAATTCCACCGCATCTTGGCACACTATATAAACAAACTGACTAACAATGTGACGAGTCTTAATTAATTGAATCCTTAATAGCATCTTTGGAGATATATTTTTTGTTTCAGCATTCTCCAGTTTTGTATGGTATTAAGTATGCTACCAATTTTTCACCTTTTGAAAAGGCTGCAAGGTTAAGAAGAAGTACTTCTGATTAAATACTGTAGAAGTAGAAGCATCACTGCATCAGTACAAAAATTGCTTAATTTAACAACTACCTCTGAATGTGGGTAGGCTTGCATGGTGGGCTGGAGGAGGTACACTGGATTTAGTAGTAATAGTAGGCAGGTTGTGGTATCCTAAGTAGAGACCCTTAAATTTTGTCCTTTTTAAATCCCACATCTGGAAACTGGATTCTTGGTAGTCAGCATAGAAAAAAACAAAAACAAAAAACAAAACAAAACAAAAAACAAAACGAAAACAAATAAAAAAACTCCACCTCACCTGATGGGTTTGAAAGTCATGTAACTTGTAAGTGTTGAAGATTAGAGTAGTTAGACGAGAGTAGCAAACACAAAAAAAAGGAGGAGAGATCAGGACGATAAATGTTTGACAGGAAAGAAGGAGCAAATAACAGAGCACCTGCCAACCACTTGTTGACAAATCAAATGACAAAAAACTGAGTTTTTCAAATAAACTAAGAAATACGACTTTGAAAATTATCTAATCAGTACACACTTGCAACACAGTTTCTCAAGGAGAACATATGAATTTTATATATTTTATGAAGACAATTTATGACAGACATATCATAGTCTAGTCTCATAAACAGACCAGTCCACGTTCATAGACAACAGATACAAAAGCAACCATTTAATGTTGTAGTTTATGGTGAAAATGAACATTTTAGCGAAAATCCCGCAAGAAACAAATACAGTTAGGCACGGATGACTCAAACACATTGAGGACTGACAAATGTGCTCAACACATCCATGATTTGGGTAACCGAAAAGGAAAAGTCAGGTCATGAAGATATCAGGCAGGGAATGGCAGAATTGTAAGGCTAATACTATCCAAGATTTTCAGTTTTTTATGCTCATGTTATCTGTGCTGCCTGACTAATTCTGAAATAAAAAGGAACCAATTTATAGTGAAGAATGTTCCTTTCAACGGTTTCAAAATTATCATTTCACCATGGAAGACAGTAC